TCATGCTCGTCTTCTGGCTCGTCAGCGATGTTGGCTGAACGTGCTCGGCTTGGCGGTGAGCGCTGCCAACTACTGTTTGATCGCTGCGGCCACGATCGTGACGGCAAGCTTGCGCGTCGTTCAGATGTGTGGATATCGGGGAACATGCGCACCAGCAGGCCCCTGATGCGCTGAAATGAGTAGTGCTCGTCCGGCAAGTTGCCCACGACGCGCTCACGGCGCTCGGCCGTGAGCCCAGCCTTGCGTAGCAGGAACCAGCCGGCCACGTCGTCAAGCGTAGTGAGGTCAACCTCGTTCTCACGTAGTTGCTGCAGTCCCGCCTCGAATCGCACGAGCCAATCCGTCATGCGTTCTCCGCGGCGGCGATGGTGCTGAGTCGACTCGAAGAACTGTTCTAGCGTCTCTCCCTTCTGCACCGGCTTCTGCTGGCCTAGGTTTGCCTCGAGGTGCATTAGCACGTTCTCGATGCCCTTCTGGTTGCGATCGCGCTTCTTCTCGTTCGCATCCTCGATGCCGTCGTCCGGCGGCGGGTGGAGTTCCTGCTCCGTCATATTGAGAGCGGCCGACCTGGCTGTACCCGTCAAACGCAGGACTAACTTCGATGCCAAACTTTGTGTCATTCCAAATTCTCACTGAGCTTCCACAATGTTACCTCCTGTTTGTAATCTCGCCATTTCGCTGGATCTCCATTCCAGCTTGGTATCACTGACTGGTTGTGTGTGAACTCCGTCATCTTGACACCGTCGTAGAAGAAGAATGTGGCGTCGCTGACACCGTCGTAGGAGAAGTATGTGGCGTCGCTGATACCTTCGTAGTAGGAGAAGTATGTGGCGTCGCTGACACCGTCGTAGAGGAAGTATGTGGCGTCGCTGACACCGTCGTAGAGGAAGTATGCCGCGTCGCTGACACAGGCGTAGGAGAAGTAGCTGTCGTCGCTGCTGAGGGTGGGAAAGAAGATGGGGTTGCTGGCGTCGCTGACGCTGGCGTTGGAGCTGGCAGGGATGTAGGCGTAGTAGGCGTAGTCGCTGGCGTCGCTGACGCTGGCGTTGGTGCTGGCGTCGCTGACGCTGGCGTAGATGCTGGCGTCGCTGACGCTGGCGTAGGTGCTGGCGTCGCTGACGCTGGCGTAGGCGTAGGCGCTGAGCAACAGCGCGAGGAGGCCGCTGGGCCTCGATTCCAGTATGGAGTGCGACGTCGCGGACGTCGTCTTGGGTATACGGCCCCGCGGGCCGGGATAGCGAGCCTCGCTCCAAGCTACCACTGTGATATATGGATATCGCTGACATCGTTTGTCGAGGAATCGCGCGGCGAAACTCTCTGCGTAGCTCTAAGGCCAAGGGCCCTAGTTCGAAACAAAACGGCAGCGACAAGGCGGGCGTGAGAGATAGAGCGGGGAAGCAGGGAAGGAGCAGGAAGGGCACGGGGAGTGAGCGGGAATCACACCTATTGTGCCTTTGTTTTCCCTTTGCCTTTGGCGCTTCCCTTCATACCACGCTTTGCACGGGCCACTAAATCGTCGCATGCTTGTTTGAGGTCTTTCAGCTGGGTGTTGTTTTGTAAATCCTCCCATTCTTCCCATTCCTTTGTCCATGAATACTCCAAGCCCTGTTCTGAGAAGTTTACGGTGATCGCCAGTTCCCCCCCGACGAAGACCTGCAGCGGCGAGCTGTCGATGACCTTGATCGTGTACTCCACGTTCATCATGTCACGCAATATGTATTTCAACCCGAAGCAGAAGTTGCGGGCGGGGGGCCACGAAGGGCATACATATATGGGGCCACTAAGGGCAGCGAGGGGGGCCACGAAGGGCTGCACGGGGCCACGAAGGGGAGCGAGGGGGCCACGAAGGGCTGCAACGGGGCCACGAAGGGCTGCAACGGGGCCACGAAGGGCAGCAAGGGGGCCACGAAGGGCTGCAACGGGGCCACGAAGGGCAGCGAGGGGGCCATGAAGGGCTGCAACGAGGCCACAAAGGGATGCGAGGAGGCCACGAGGGGCTGCAACGGGGCCACGAAACAAAGCGAGGGGGCTACGAAGGGCTACAACGGGGCCACGAAACAAAGCGAGGGAGCCACGAGGGGCTGCAACGGGGCCACGAAGGGCTGCGAGATCCCGATTCCTAGGTAATTTGTGAGGGAGTCCTAAGCGTGAGCGCGACTCCTGGGTGCCTGGGTGTCGGGAACGCGGCGCTTGAGTAAATTGCCAGAAATTCCAACGCAAGGGCGCTATTCGTCAGTAAATTGCAAGCAAGTCGCCAGCGAGAGCGCGACTCCAGAGCGCCGGGAAAGCGATCCTGAATAAATTGCAAGGAAATCCAAAGCGAGAGCGCGATTCCTGAATAAAATGTGAGGAAGTCTCGGACGGGAGCGGGGGTCCTGGCTAAATTGTGAGGAAGTCTCAGGCGGGAGCCGTTGTTGTTGTAACCCGGGGGCCAGGGGCGCAGTTTGAGCATCAAGACTTTCCCTGTCAAGAACAAGATGCGGGCGTCGAGGGGCACACTTTGAGTGAGAAAAAACAGCATGCACTGGTGAGGGGGATCAACAGAAATAATTCTTCAGAAATGAGAGCTCAACAACACCAACACCAACACCAACACCAACACCAACACCAACACCAACAACAACAACAACAACAACAACAACAACAACAACAACCACAACAACAACAACCACAACAACAACAACAACAACAACAACAACAACAACAAGCACAAGCATACGCACAACCACAACCACAACCGCAACAACAACAACCACAACAACAACAACAACAACAACAACAACAACAACAACAACAACAACAACAACAACAACAAGAGTAGCAGAGCAACAACAACAACAACAACAACAACAACAACAACAACAACAACAAAAACGAATTGGTGCTGTTTTTTTGTTTCTGGGGTTTTTCCCCCAGATAAACACCCGGAAAACCCCCGACAAAGCCTCCGAACAACAACGCCGAACAAGAAACAGCCACCAAAAAATTAGGGGGGTCCTCGGGGGTCGGCGAACTGCCACACCCTACTGAACGCTGGGGTCCTTCTGCAGGTGGGCAGCAAGTTCGACTCTGGCCACCCATCTGGGATACCGATTAGCGACAAGCTTACATTCAGCAACATTGCGCGTCTGCACCTCCTCGCAAGAATGGGCAAGCTCGGGGCCAACAACGCTGCCCTCGCACTCCGCCCAAGCACGCTGCAAAACAGGAATCGGCCCATGGCCTCTGGGAAGCGACATCCCCGCCCCCATGATCATGCATCAGATCAAATTCCTCATGAAGGTCTGATGAAAGAGCTCCCCTTCTCTTGGCGAACGCCGCCGCGCGCTGCTTAGACCGCCTACTGTCAGGATCGACACTCTGCTTAGGTCAGCCCGGATTGGGAAAGGGCTCAAAGGCATCAAGTGCTTTGCGCCACCAGGCCTGTGCAGCTCCTTGCAGAACAACCTGCTGACCGATGTGAGTTTGCCACCCTACAGCACAAAAGGCATGCTACGCTGATACGATGAGCGTACTCGGACTTGGCCACGGTATAATCGGTTAAAGTGCTTGCAGCTGATTCGTCACAAATGGTGCAACAGTCGTCGTGCATGAGATCCCCCGTCTTCTCGGATCACCGCGCGTTGACCAAGGAAGTTGGAGGGAGGTTTCAACGCCCATCAGTGACCCACGGCTCGGCCAAACATGTCACGAAAGCGCTGACAGCCACAAGCACTGAGCGGTTATACCCAGACGTGCGTAGTCCAGAATGTAGATACAAACCGATCACTACGACATTGCCCGAGGAGCGATGCCACGTGACAGCTGAGAAGCCTCAGAAGGGCTCGCTCTGCCGATTCGCAACAGATGCCTGACGAGTTCCGCGACACAAAGTGGTGGCCAAGTGATTCTTAGCCAACACCCACTCGCCCCCAATGGACCCTCCCCTACCTAGTGCTGTGACAGGCCGAAACGTGCCACACACATGTGTCCAAGCTGCGCTCCACGCCGCCTACAAGGGCATCAACTGTGACATGCGTATCCGCTTGAACAGCCACCTGGAATCCGCAAGAATTCAGGAAACGTGCTGCATTGGGGCCCCACTGCGTAATTTGCCGTACAAGAAAAAAGCATCGTTGGCGCACACCTCGACTCTCCTCGGAGTAGATGCCTGCTCTGGGGGTGGTGGACTTCCACTGCCAGGTTGACCACCACCATCTGCACTGGCAGCGATGGGAGCATGATCAGGTGGGAAGGAGATCCACCCGCCAGCTGCTCGTCGCCAACACCCAGCTGGCCGAAAGGGTCGAAGTCCTCATCCATGGTGCTGCGACGGATCGTGTGATGCTGACCCCCCTGGTTCTCCTTGATGAGAATGGAAATGCCATCCTCCCAAACCGCGTCAGCGGAAGCATCGGTCACCTGCCCCAAAGGGATTCCGCACCAATCACGAGTCTCTCCCATGCATTGGGGGCTGGGTTCTGATGCCGCGGAGGCATCGACCACCCCCCTTGAAGCAGTCCCGCTGGGACCGAGGACGGAGGCATCGGTCACCCTCACGTTGGAGGCCTCATCCTCACCTGACTCCCCGGCCGTCGGACAGGGTCAGGCCGCGGGAGCATCTACTCCGCGAGGTCCAGCTGGTGCGGAAGCATCAGCCACCCACTCCAACGAGGCTCCGCATTCAGCTACGCAGCGTTCTCGTCCGGCGTCACAAAAGTGCTGCCGTCGTCGTAACCGACCGAACTGGACATACCATGCGCCGTGCCGTAATCGCATGACACGTCGTTGAACGAACCACCAGCACTCGAACACAAAATTACAGTATCCACCCATACTACGTCAGCGGAGGCGTCAACCACCTGCTCCAAGGGAGTTCCGCGCGAACCGCTAGACTCACCCATCAATTGGGGGTGGGGGTGAAGGTGGAAGTGACGGACCCAGGTGCGAGGAATCCCCCTTGCGCGCCACTACTGAATGCCCCTGAATTGCGGTGAACCCGCCCTCTTCCCCACGCGCGCCTCCTCTTTTTCCTTTTTCTTCTGCTCTTCCTCGGCTGCAGCAGCCTCAGCAGCCGCCGCTCCGTCCGCTTGCGCGGCCGCTGCAGCTGCGGCCGCCGCCGCCTGGCGGAGGCTGCGGGGAGGAACACATCAGAGTGGGGTGGGGCGGGGGGGGGGAACGGCATTACAGTCCCTGGGCGCGCAGCTGCCGAACATCGCATCCGAGCCGAAGGAGTAGCACGTCTAAGCGAGCAAATGGGCGGCTGTGGAAACCGGATCGTCTCGCGGGGGGGGTATGGCTTCGCATTCGCTAGCCTTCCACTGGCATTCCCCTACGTGGCTCTTCTGCCAAAAAGTCACATTCCTGCTGCTGTCATACTGAGAGGCAGTCGCTGCTTTGATCCTCCTCCCCATCATCCTCCTGCTCCTGTTCCTCCTCCTCCTCGTCCTCCTCCTCCTCTTCCCTCTCCTCCTCCTCCTCCTCCTCCTCTCCTCCTCCTCCTCCTCCTCCCCTCCTCCTCCTCCTCCTACTCCTCCGCCTGTTCCCCCACCTCCTCCCTCTTCCTTCCACCTCTCCTCTCTTTTTCTTCCCCTCCTCTCCTCTTCCTCTTCCACCT